CGCTACATCCAGGCCAGCGAGCGAGGTGAGCGGAGCGCGTCCCCGGCCCCCTGCCCTATCCAGCGGTGCTCCGAGGCTCTCCTCGCACACCCGGCGCTCCCCGGCGGACCCCATTCCCCCTGCTGGGCGGGGGGACGGGCGCGGGCGAGGACTAGTCCGGCTCTGCACAGCCCTGTCGTGCGGACTCTTGACGGTCGTCCTCGTGGTCGCGGGGTGGGAGCGGAGGGTCCCGGGGAGGTGGAGGAGCCAGGGGGGAGGGGCGTCCGAGCCAGCCGCTCCCGGGTGCCAGGTCTGACAGGTGCTGTCAAACGTTCTGCGCCGCGTTTCTTCCTTGTTTCGCTGTCGCGAGCGCGGGCTCGGCGTTCAGGGGCTCACTCTGAGCCCGCCGCTGGCTCCGGCCAGGCTCCGGGGGCGTGTGGACGACAAAAGACCTGTTTCCCAGGGCTTTTCGCGACATGCGCCCCTTCCCCGTGCGGCAGCGCACTCGGACGCGCTAGGGCACGCGCGCCTCCACCCGGCTAGCCCCGGCCCCGGGTTCCTTCCACAGATCTCAGCTTTCTTTTAAAGGCTTGTTGTATCGCCCCTCAGTCCCCTTCCATGGGCCTCCAGTCCCTTATGACCGAGCTTCTGTGGTTTCCACCAAAAATGCCACACGGTCGACTCGGGCGCAACTCCCTCCCCCCCGCGCGTGTGGCTCCGCGGTCTCCCCAGCGCCCGGAGCGAGGCTTTGCTGGAGCGCTTGCGGGACCAGCGGGCGCTGGAGCGCTTCTCCCCGCGTGTCCCCCACTCCGCCCCTCCGCCCCCGGGCCTGCAGGTATTTGAAGTAGTAACCCGAGTGGACAAACAGCTTAAAGACTGAGGATGGTGGCTGCTGGGGGCGCGAGGAGAGGCGGGCGGTCGCGCACACCCCACCGCGGAAGCGCCCCGGGGCGGCACATTTTACTGCCGAGCACGTTGCGGCCAGGCGGCTGAGGTCCTACTATAGCGCAGCCCCCTTTTTTCCCGTCGTGGGAGTTGGGGTGCACAACTCTTCGGGAAACCCATCTCGGTCCCCCCTCAGCGCGCGCGGTTGGATTGTCAACGTGCAATCCCGGAAAAGCTCCGGCGACCTCACGCGCCGAGACCGAAGGGGAGCGGGACTGAGTCATGCCCTGGCCAGTCCGGACTTGGCAGGGTTGGGCACCCGGCCCTAGTCCCGAGGGGGGCAGCGCAACCGGAGGCGGGGGCGAGGGGACTCGGGAACAGGTGAGTGGGCAGATACGCCGTGGAGGATGGACCTGTGGCCACCCCCTCCCATCTTGGCCTCCGGGGACGCAGGGTGAACGCCCTCCTTAGAGCGAAGAGGAGGGACGTGTTGACAGGGGGGTGCACGGCCAAGTTTTGAGCCTCGAACTCCAGGCAGTCTGCGCCGAACCCCTGCCAGCCAAGCAGGCGGGGCGCGGGCTTTGCACATTATGAAAAAGGGCACTTGTATTCAACCCTACAGGCTTGCCACGCCCGGAGGAGAAATACACAGAGACTTCTCTGCGCTCCAGTCCCCAGTCTCCTGCAGACCTTTGCAACCCTTCGGCTGCCCGGGGCCCGGGAACCTGGGTGACTTTGTGGAGCCCAGAGATACAAGTCGCAGATTTGGGGGGTGGGGGTGGGGTCGAACTGGGTGGGGGTGTGTCCACCTACCGGCTAAACCCGCGGCTTACAGTCTCTGGGCCACTGTCCTGAAGGTCCTAGTGCCCGCTGCGAGCACGCTGCCCGTGCCTGGGGTTCGTGGCCTGTGGCGACGGGCATCTGCCCCTCAGATGGGTTGGATCACGCCGCCGCGGCCCCTAGGCTCCGTAATGGCTCAGGGAGGGCATCAGTGCCCTGTGGGCCTGGAACCTTTGGAAGGTCTGGGCTACAGTCTGCTGCTGCTGATTAATTCCCAAAACCTCAAACCCAAGTCTCTTTGTCCCCCAACTGCCATCCAGTTTTGAATTTAGTTCAGAAAGTTTGACTGACCTGTCTATTTTACCCGGGATGTAGTTACCATTTTTTACAGCGACTATTCTAACTCAAAAATGTTTTCAGCAGTGCCTTGGCAGAAGTTCAGAAACGTGAAAGAAAAAATTTTCTCTCCTGCTCCGCCCCCTCTCCCCCTTCTTATTCTCAGAAGAGAAAGTTGCTGGGTGACAAGGCTTTCTAGGGGATCTCTTACAAATCACCTGTCACAGTTAAGGAATTCAAAGGGGGTTTAGCACAGGGGTTCTGTGTAGAGAATGCCTGTCCTGGCTCAGCGATTCAGTGGCAGGTGGCAGGTTGTGGGCTATCAAGATGGTTCTAAACTTCTTTAAAAAAAAAAAAGATTTATTTATGTATACAGAACTGAGGTACAGGCCAGAGGTGCAGGGACAGTGAGAGGATTCATCAGAGACAGAGCGGGGAGCAGAGCAGGCAGACTGAGGAAGCACACTGCTGAGGGGAGCAGCGGGCGGGTCAGGAGAGGTCTGCTGAGCCATGTGGTCAACACCAGGTGGGGATTGAACTCATGCTGAAGTGGCTTTAACTGCTTAGTGCTGTGCTTTAATCTGCTGCACCACTAGGGAGGGCCCAGGTTCTAAACTTCCTCAGGTTCCTCAGGTGAAGTGGCCACCCCCCTTCCATCTTGGCTTCTGGGTCCAGAGTGAATGCCCTCCTCAGAGGAGGAGGAGGGATGTGTTGATAGGAGGATGCCCGGCCTTCCCATGTGGGGATGCTGGAAGTGTTCACTGAGCTAATATGGGGAACAGGCAGAAACATGGAGGGCCACTGCCAAAGTGCGGTTTTAATATTTCATATATACTTAATATTACATAATATAGTATAAATGTGAGATTTTCATATATTCTTTGCTTATTATTATATGAGAATCACTTTTGCTTAGAAGGTGAGGTCACACTGTGGGGAAAGAGCTCAGAGAAGCCTCTGGACTGGGGGCCATACTTAGCAGCTGTGTGCTCAGCAGAAATCACTTAGCCTCTCTGAGGCTCAGTCCCCTCCTCTGTGACACCTAGAGGTCAGTAGGAATCAGGCTTGTTCAAACTGATCTTGGGTAGTTCTGATTTGTATTCAAGTGTTAAAATGTAACACACCATTTTTAGTATTTGAAAATTCTCTGTTAAACACTATAGAACTAGAGAGGTTCCCCCCTCTTTTGAAGATGACAATTTTAGTACTTTTTTTGCGGTGGGGGGGGGGCAAAGTTCATCTTTAAAAGCAGAACATAGGGCCCTCCCTGGTGGCACAGTGGGTTAAAACACAGCACTGAGAAGCTAAAGCCACTTCAGTATGGTTCGATCCCCACCCCGAGGTGACCCACATGGCACAGCAGACCTCTCCTGACCTGCCTGCTGCTCCCCTCAGCAGGGTACTTCATCAGCCGGCCTGTTCTGCTCCCCGCTCTGTCTCTGATGAATCCTCTCACCGCCCCTGCCCCTCTGGCCTGTATCCCAACTCTCTATGCATAAATAAATAAATCTTAAAAAAAAAAAAGCAGACCACAAATGTTTGAATCTCTTAAAAGATAAAAACTGATAGTGCCACTAGCTCCAATGATGACTAAAATTTCATTTGGCTTCATTATAGACATTACTCATGACGTCCATTTAATTTTTTGTCTCATGTCTTTAGCTAACATAATTCACTAAAATACATATGTCTTAATGGAGGACAAATTATCTTAGAGCAGTGATCTGTATTTAAAACTGATTCAATTTATAATCAACTACTGCCCTTAATATTCTACAGTCAACAGTAAATTTATTTTTTAAAAAGCAAGCTTGAAAATCAGTATTTTGGGCATTAAAGCCAGTAGTTGTCTACACTTTATAAGATGCAAGGCTAGAAATATTTTTGTATGAAGAACTGTCATTTTATCCCTATGGTTATTAATATGTCATTAATCTGGGCCTGCATAACAACTGGGGAGATAAAAGTGCTTAATCAGTATGAGTCATTTATTTTTAGAACTAGACTGAGGTAAAGGACCGCGTTGCTGGTCAGCAGGATTTTTAAGCCAAGAACCTATGATAAGTGTAAAATAACTAATACACAGCCGGGGGAAAGCATTATAGGCTGCAGTGTAGGAATTCTGAAAGCCTTTGGAGTAGATGGAACTTTGTGAACAACAAAAAAATCTCTATTTTGTACATAATATCTATGCAGTGTAGAAAGAACCAGAGAGAGAAAAAATTTTTTATATTAGATTTTATTTTTAGAAAAGATGGCTATACAGTTACAAAGTTTAAGAAATCAGAAAATTACACACATCATATTAGGACCAAAAGTTTCATGTCTCCTATTTCCCATGTTTTATTTCCCAAAGGGAACTATTTTCAAACCTTATAAGTGCAGGTTTTTGAATGTAGATCTGTAAACAACACGTTAATTCCCACTCGTTCACATGCAGGTCTTTGCCATCTCAGTGGCCACTTAGTTCTCTTCTACTACATGTCAACCACACACTCAAGCTTCCCTTCCAGTCATCTTTCCAATATGGAAGACATTTTGGTTCGCTCATGTTTAGTGTCTGTAGTATTATTTCCTTTTAAATGCTCTGATGTAGACACACAGTGCTATGCAGCTCAGCCATACAGACCTCCGTGAAGACATGTCCTTTCTTGTCCTGCTGTTTTCTTTGGGACTTAAAAATGTCTGGTGTAGGTTGTTTGATTTCCTGTGGACTTACAACTAAGTCATCTATCATTTCCCCATTTTAAGCTTCTGTATCTGATCCAGTTTAGTTGTTTTCTAAGCATGAAGCAAGTTATCACTCTGGGTTCTTTCTTCAGTATGTTCGGGGAACTTCCATCACCTTTACCGGGCTAGGTTCCCACATATTCCTCTTCTTTGGTTTACGCTTTTATTTTGGTGAGGCACATCCTTCAGGAGCTTTTTGAGAAAGGACGGATGAAAACAAAATTTGAGACCTTTCCTGACCAAAAGTTTCTTTATCTTATCCTTATACATAGTTACAGAATTCTGGATTAGAAACAATTTTCCTTCAACATTTGAAGGATTGTCTTCTAAATTCCAATCTTTCTTAGGAAGCTTAAATTGATTCGGATTCTTGACCAATTGATTTTTTTTCCTGGAATTTTTTGCAATCTCTTAATGTTCTTAATGTTTTAGCATTTCATTTTGGCACTTTCCTGCCAGTATTTTGCCTTGCGCATGTAGGATACTGACTAATAAGCCTTTCCATTCAGGGACTCAAGGCTTTTAGTTTTGGAAAAATGTCTTACGCTATATCTTTTATTTCCTTCATTTTATCTGTTTTTTCTAGAATATATATATATATATATTTTAAATTTGGATGTTAGGCTTCCTGCATGGATACTCTACTCTTCTAATCCCTCTCCTTTTACTGATCACCTATCTTTAAAAGAAAAAAAAAAGTTTCTTTTAACTATTTCTTTGACTACCCCAAAGTTACTACTGAGTTTTGGGCATTGGAAGTTTGTACTTTTTGACCCCATTACACATTTTACATCCTTCCTTCCCTGGCCCTTGGTAGCCACCAATCTTGTTGTCTATATTGGTAAATTTAGATTTTTAGTGAAAACTCTTATTTTAAACCTTCTGATAGATTGCATGAAGGCAAGCTTCTGACAGTACTTGCTGTTGAGTGAGACACGCATAAGAGATTAAGGAATATCCTATAAATCTAGAAGGAGTCTGCTTTGCCAGTATCTTGCTGCAGCCTGAATTAGACAATAACATGCATCATAGGTTTGTTTTTTTCAAAAAAAAAAAAAAAAAAAAAGGATACACACACACCCCAACTATGGACCTAGAGGTTTGGATTTCCTCTTGAGGTTGTCTATGTGGTCGACACAAAATAAATGTGTCTAAAACCACCAGTCTGCTCAGGCACCAGTGTCTTATCTGCTCACTCTGGCTCACTCTGCTCAGTCCCAGCAGGTAGAATTTTATAAAAGAATGTGTCCCTCAGAAGACGTTGACCTTGGGGGTGCTAGGGAGAGAGAGAAGATGGGCCAGGAATGTAAAAATAGAGGAAGAAGTGGAACAGAGGCCAGTGCTGGTCAGAGCCCTTCCAGGGCTTCGGGAAGCCTGTGCTTCAGCCCAGACGGCACCACCTGTTCAGCCCTGGGCCAGGTATGTGTGTCTCTTAGTTGGATGCTTAGGGCTCCTGAGGCCTGCTGTTTTGGAAGCCTGGTTGCAGCTGACTTCTGATACTGTTTTCATCTTTGCTAACACCCATGCTTATAGTTTGGCTCCCCAGTTGGCCCAGTCATGTTGCCACCAACATGTTTGTGACAATCCTGGTTGTCACTGCACTTAAGTAATTTGCATTCCCGATGATCTAAAACTATATGAAGTGGGTGCCTGGGCGTTTGCCAGTGAGCACTGGCAGAGCTTCTCTGCTGACAGAATTGGGTTCTGGGCCTGGAGGTTTGGAGTCAGATTTTGGACCATCAGTTGATCAGACACTGTTGAAGGGTGCCCTTAGCCCATCAGCTGGAGCTTCTTAGGGCCTCCTGGAGATAAATGCCCACCCTGAGAATCTGCACTCTTTAAACCTGTTCAGCCTGAGCCCTTTATTGGCTCTCTTATCACAGAAGGGCCTAGCAGCACATTAGATCTAAAACCAGAGTTTAGGGCAGAATGAATGAAAAGAGTCTTCAAAAGCTTCCTCACTGAGGTATCTTGAAATTGGACTTTTTATCCCTTATATATATTTTCAGGCACAAAGAACACCTGTTCCCACAGCTGTCAATCTATAGGAGTTTTAGGTTGTTTTGAAAAATAAAACATTCTGTGAAGCTTGGTGCTCTGGGCCCAGCCCTCTGGTAGTGAATGTTGAATCATGCTCTAACACTGAGAGAAATACCTACAGGCACCTAACCCCGCAGGGTGCTCAGGCAGCTTTGGCACAGCTTTGATTTTGTTTTACATCTTTCAGAGCCTTTGTTTTTACAAAGAGCATACACATTTCTGAGGGCTGGCATGTGTGCTGGTAATGCAGTTTTGGCACTCTGGGCTCTTGGGATCTCCCCTTTGCTTGATGTGGGCAGCCACACACCGTGTTCACCATCCTGGGGCCCAGGACCCGGTGGTATTGAGCAGATGAACTGGATCATGGCCAGGCTTCTTTCACTGGCATCAGTTGCAGCAATTCTGTGGCAGGGGAGAATGTTCTGGATAAGCTGAGAGAACACAGGTGGGACCTAGAATCTTGTTAACGTTCTCTTATATATGTTGGGACAGCTTGAGACATATATTTCAAAGTTTGACAGCAGAAAGTCTGTCTTGCTGCCTCTTTTGATCTGTCAAATGCATCTTGTCCTCAAAACCATTGGGTTTGCTTTTTTCAGGAAGTGTTTTTACCATGCTTCAGTGTAAAACAGGTGGCATTCTTCACTTTCTTCTACTGGGCAAATCTGATGATTTCTTTCAAATATTAAAAAAAAACAACTTTATTTTGAAATGATTTTATATATTTTGGAAAAGATTTAAGAACATATAACAAACTTACATGGAGTCTTCACTCAGATTTTATCAGTTGTTTACATTCTGTCACATGTGCCTTGTCATTTGGAATCTCCTCCTGGGCCCTAACCCTACCCCACGGTCTAATGAAAACCCAGAACACTGAATCAAATACAACACAATTATCCAATGATTGGCCTCTTCAATGTTCTCAATAATGCCCTTTATACAGAACTTGATTTTCTTTCTTTCATTCTTTTTGAGGTTCATAATCCACCCAGGTCCCACATTGCATTTAGTTCTCTGTTCTACTAAGTGTCCTTTAGTCTAGAGCGCTTCCTCTTGTTTTTCATGGAATCCACCATGGGAAAGAACCCCAGTGATGATTCTCTAGACTGGCCACACCGGGTAGGCCCTTACTTCCTGGATTGGATTCTGGCTGCCCCGGAATCTGGGGGTGCGCACCTTGTGGGGGTGCTGTTGGTTGGTTGTGCTAGGGAACTGTCGACTCGCCCCCTGGTGATCACTAAGTCGTTGGTGTCCTTGGTTGGGCCCTCTGTCTTGTTGGATGCTTCCCCGGCTCTCAGGGCCTCACTGTCCCCGGTGAGGGGTGACTCACGCTTGTCGTTTGTTCCTCCCTCCCCAGTGGTGATCATGTGTGCAAGCAGCGACACAGTCCGGGGCATCATGCTGGCGGCGCACAGGCACGGGATGACCAGCGGAGACTACGCCTTCTTCAACATCGAGCTCTTCAACAGCTCGTCCTATGGTAACTGCTTCCAGTTTCTCCTCCTGCTGCTGGGTGTCAAACGGGGGTGCGAGAAAGACCAGCACTTTGAGATAACGTCAGTAGATCTGATTTCTGTTAAGTCGGATTTTAGCAGTTTGAGGTTCTGAACATTTCCACGACTTCTGGTAAGTTCCCAGGCGAGGAGTTGTGCCTAGGCTGCCTCAGCTCTCCAAGTGGTCACACACCCAGGCCCCAAAGACCCCTCCCTGCTGCCTTTCAGTAGTGGGACCCCACCATGATGGAATATTGGGATAATGTTAGTGAGATTTGGGCAGCATTTTTAATAGTGTGGAACAGAGTAAAACATGTCACCATAATGGAATACATGTAGTCTTGATTCATGAAACTATTCTTTCAGCATGAGAGTTGTATGTGTACATGTTTATGCATATTACATGTATGTTTGTAACAGGCTGCATTGTAATCAATAAACGAACCATTACTGTCAATTGAGTAAAAGCTTTTAAACCACTGGGACAGCCCCTTTCCCTCCTGTTCACTGCCTCTTACATAGCGCTGAGACTAAATCTTGACAGCATCAATGAAACCTTGGGATCTCTTAAAGCGGAGCTGGGGATGCTGCCAGGCTTCTGTGAGGAGGATGACGGAGGAGGCTGTCAAGAGCACACCTCCCGAGGCTGGCCAAGGGCCTCTCTGAAGTAGACCTGTAGCTTACAGAACACTTTTTCCCAATATGGTAACTTTGTCACTCAAAATTGAACCCATTTTTTTTTCTTAAGATTTACTTATGCCTACAGAACTGGGATACAGGCCAGAGGTGCAGGGGCGGTGAGAGGATTCACCAGAGTCAGAGTGGGGAGCAGAACAGGCAGATCTGCCGCACCATGTGGGTCACCTCTGGGGTCGGGGATCCAACTCACACTGAAGACGCTGCCGCTAGCTTGCAGTGCTGCGTCCTAACCTGTTGTGCTACCAGGGTGGCCCCAAATTGAACTCTTAAAGGGGAGCTGCAGGCATGCTCCCACACAGGGCACGCACATGCTGAGCTCTTTGCCTGAGCTCTTGCTTGGAGACAGAGATTCTAACCCTCCAAGCATACACCTCTGTTTGGCGCTCTGGTAGCCTGGGTTTGCTCAAGCAATAGATCGGCCCACGTAGATAATAAAAACACACTTCTCATGGTGGTAAACAGAAGTTAATGAAACAAAAGTAGCCCGTGTTTCCCGTGGCTGATAAAATTGGAGAGGTGAGGCTTGCATGATAAACACCCAGGTCTTACTACCTTCCTCCCGTGACTTCCCCTCTAATTACAAGAGCAGACTTGTGCTTTCCGCTCACCACGAGCCGCGTGCACTCACATTATGAGCAGTATTGCATTCATGAGAGTAGTAGGAACTGGTAAAAATGAAAAGCATTTGTTCTGTTCTGAGTCATGCAAGCTGGCAACTGTGAACATAGAATGAATGAGCAATGACATGTTACGAGCCCAAATTCCTTTCATCCCCAGATAAAGGACACATACATGTATATAGGGATATAGATTACTTATAAGATCATTTTCTGAAAGTAGAATTTCTGAGGCAAAGATTATGCGCATCTATATTTTGATAGATATGCTCAAGTTGTCTTCTAAAAATATGTTTTTTTTTGCAACAATGTGTGAGCTTGTCTGGTCTCTTACAACCTGTCAATCCTGCATCATCTAAATTTTAAGTTATTTTATTTATTTGAATTTCTTTTTATGTTCATGAGCAAATTTTTGCTGTTTCTTCACTTAAAGTACTCTGCACCGTTTATGTTTCAAATTGTTACTATGCTTGTGATCTTTTCCCATCATACTTTGAAATTAATTATCACATAAAAATAATCATCACATAAAAAGCTCTGAGCTTTTTGTTTATTTAGCTTGCCAGGATGTGGCACATTAAATTATTATATTAATTTTAATGTAATATAAAAATAAATCATTTAATAATACTATTGTGTTATATTAATTTTTATATCCTTTTCAACAAACAGCGTTTTTGCCCACGTTTTGAGAAATGGACAACTTACTTTTTTTGTTTGAGAAGAGCTTTCAGAATATTAGAGGACAGTCGTGATACTTTGACTTTTTGTCTTAAGTAGATGTTAAAGTATCCTTCTATTACTAGTGTATTAGGTATGATTTAAAAAGTAGGTAATAAGTGTTACCAAATACACTTGGTCTATTCTTCTAATAGACTTCCTAGTACCGAGACCCTAGCAAACATGGAGCTAAGGTACTTATGATGATTTTTCTTTAGCTATAGTGTTGAATTTAAGTTTTTAGTATTTTATTCAGAATTATTGAATATATAGTTGTGAGTTAAGATTGGACGCTCATTTTCTTGCCTTGAGATGGGATTGCTAGATTTTAATATCAGGTGTACATTAGTGTTATAAAATTAATTGGGACAATTTCCATTGTTTTATGCTCTAGAAAAGCTTATATACTGTAAGAATATTCTTGGAATGATGGGAACAATTAAACTCTGTATTTGGACCTAACTTCTTTTTAGCGGTAATTTTTGGAAAACGTAAAAAAATTATTTTACAATAATTTTAGATTTACAGTAAACTTGCAGAAATATTGTAGAGTTCCTGCCTTCCTTTTCTCCAGATTCCTTAATGTTAACCATTTAAATAACCAGTCAATGAGCATAAGAAAACTAACACTGGAATACTACTACTAACTAAGCTTTAGGCCTTATTTGGAATTTTCCACCTTTTCTTCAAATGCTCCTTTCTGTTCCCTCACCCAATCCGCAATCCCATGTTGCATTTAGCTATTGTGTCTGCTTAATCTCCCCCAATCTGTGATTGTCTTTCAGTCTTTCCTTGTCTTTCATAATGAGGCACTTTGAATGGGTCTGTTATTTTGTAGAATTACTTTAGGTTTATCTGGTGTTTTCACATGTAAATACTGAGTCTATATACTTTTGGTAAGAATACTAGAAGATTGATGTGTGTCCTCAGTATATAAGAAGTCAGAAGCATATCTGCCTACAAATATACATACACATACACATGTATACGTGTCTATGAGTATACATATATAGGTATATCTTATTGCTAGAAATGTTTGGACAATTGTTAAAGGCATTTTTCTGTGAGGTCAGGTTTTTGCTTCTTGAAAGTTTAATTGCATTGAGTTATACAGTGTGCTCTTACAAACCTACGAGTATCCTAGATGGCCCCCCCGTAGGTTCCCCTTTTATTAACCTTTTGCAGTACAGTGGCTCAGGTTGGGCTATAATGTCAGTCTGCTGAGAGAATGTTCCGCATGCTAGCTCTTGGAAACTGACTTAACCCTGCCTTCCTTTGCAAGCCTTAGTTCTATCAATAATACCTGCATCTACTGTCTGGTGTCAGGTTGATTGAATATATGTGAGATACACAGTAAATAACTTGGAACATGAGTATTTAGTAGGTGGTAACTATACTATTCTCAGTTTACTCTGACAATTATTAAATCCTATGGGTAGTGCTTATGTGTTTTTTTTCATGTTAAATCTGATGCATAGTGCTTCAGTTAAGTTTCGACATTTTCCTGTGGTTCGTTTTGCTGACAGCATTAGGGCTGCATATTCTGTTACCTGTTTTAATCTAATATATTTTAAGGACCTCGGCGGATTAGGAATTAGATCTGCATACAAACATCCAAGACACCAGCTTCAGTGATTGAAACAAATCACTGCTGGGGGTTAGTCTTTCACCTGTAAGCAGACCAGAGGTGGCCCAGAGACAGTGGTCCCAAAATGCCATGAAGAATCCCAATTTATTTCCTGCTCTTTCAAGCTTAGTGCATGTTGTCCTCCAGATCACAAGGCGGCAGATAGGGCTCCAGAAATTGTGTCCTATTCTAGGCTAGACAGGAGAAAGATGAGGCGAAACCAGATCTCCTCAGTTGATTCAGTTCTTTTGGAAGGTTTCTGCCAGCCCCTCTCATTAACTTCTGCTTACCTATCTTTGGCTTCCCCTACTAGCAAGAGAGGTCAGGAAATGTATGCTTTTCGTTGGATTCACTGCCACCCCAAGTCACCTTAGGAATCTGTTACTAAAAAAGAAGGGGGGCTGGATCTAGGGAGGCACAAGTCCCAGTTTGCCGCTGCCCTCAGAGTAGGAGCAGCGTCGGATCCTGGGGCAGCAGAGCGGTCCAGACCAAGGCTCTGTGGTGGTCATCCGTGAGGGGCCTGAGAATTTGTGTTCTAAGAATGAGATAAGATTTATTTTCTGGAAGAGTGCATCTACCGCCTCCTCTCCCTATGCTTCTTCACACCAAGCTACACCATTCCAGGAAAAAAAAAAAAAGTATGTTAATACATACTTGATATTGGGCTTTAAAATTTGTTATTATTTTCATTTTATTGCATTTTCCTTTTTTTGCACTTTGCAGATGATGTGTGTTTTACAGATTGAAAATCCTGCATTGACCAAATCTATGGGCCATTTTCCTAATAGCATGTGTTCACCTTATGTGTCTCTGTCACAGTTAATTATAGTGTGGATAATTTTTTTCTGTATTTATTTGCTTATTTTTAATGGTAATATCAGAGTACTCCCTTGGGCATGCTAACTGGGCTCTGTCTGTGTCTCTTCAGACAGAACCCACTAGCAACATGTGGTCACTGAGCATTTGAAATGTGCTAAGCGAGTGTGACCAAGGAACTGAATTTCTAGTTTTTATTTAATTTTAATTAACTTACATTTAAATAGTCACACGTGTGACTGGGGGCTCCTGATAGGACAGCTCAGCTCCAGAGCCTCAATATTGTTTCCATCTGCCTCTTTCTGGAAACTTTTAACTCTTAGTTTGGAATTTTTCTGGCTCTTAGTGGGTTCTGTCTCCTCTTGCCTGCTAAAATCAACAGCCCCAAAATGTGTGTGCTCAGCTTTCTTTTTGCACTTTCTCTCCTACCCAGAGCGGTCAGTCCCTGGCTTCGACCTACCTGCTGTCTGAAATGACACACAACTCTCTCTTGAACTCTCGCTGCTCTTCTGGCCTCAGGCCGCTACTTCCTACCCAGCCAGGTTGTATTACTTGGCTCTTCGGTCTCCTTGGGGTTGCCCTGACCTCACTGAAATCACCGTCACTTCCACACCCACGTCACCCTCCTCCTCCTCCGCTTGGCTCTGTCCTTCCACTCAGGACGAAGGACCACCCACCTGCTTTCCATCCCCCTGTGGTGTCACCGATGACGCACCTCTGCCTGTTGTCCCTCACTCCCTAACTCTGGTAGAGTCTTGAGATTCCTCTTGCTGGCCCCTCTGCTCTCACGCAGGGACTCTCTTCATGATTTAAAAAATAGTAACTGTGTATTATTGCAAATTGACTAGATTTAGAAAGACACAAACAAAGGAAAGGAAAGAAAACTTGCCCCTTACTCTCATCACTCAGAGAACAGAGTTTAATTCTGAGGGGTGTGTCTTCCCCCATATAACCTCTCCTAACCTCTCTCCCTAGGCGTCTCCCCATTCCAGTCCATGCCCATTTTCTGGGG